CAGTGACCACGTTGGGCAAGGAACACGAGCATTCGACTCCCTAATTGACGGCGACATTATTCAAACACGTCGAGAAGGGAGAAAGTGACACAGCAGGATTGATCCCGGAGGTTCCGTTCCTTCAAGTACGACAAAGTTTTGGGGGCCGCAAGGCCAGGGTTATGTTACACGCTTAGACACCAGCAATGAGTAAGGAATTGAGACGGCTTCATTTTAAATATTTAAATTGGTTTAGTAAGGTTCTGTCTGTTTATTTAACCTTCTTTCTACTTTCTGTCTGATTTTCGAGAACAGCGCCTTTTTTTTTAACTTTGTCTTATCTCACTCCTTCACCTTCCAGACCCGTGTCAGAAAATGGGCGAGCCTGCCATGAATCAATGCGGCCAATTCTCACGGATTCGGGTGGCTGCGGCTGAAGGACCGAGGCAAGACACTCCTAGCGACACTACGTAAAAATGAAAGGAAAACTCATGGCACTGAAGAATTAAACAGGAAATAGAAATAAGCTTGAAACGAAGCGCAAAATACTAACCTTATACGTGTCGAAATAAAATAGTTGCGTGTAATCCCCCCCACATTAATGATGTGCGTAAGCTTACGTTGATGACCCTGGCCCTATAGCCCCCAAATAGAGGTCGGTCTAACCGGAACAAGCGAGTGAAAGTCCGGGATTCATCCGGCTGTGTCACTTTGGGTGATCGGAGTGTGCGTGGAGACCGTCGCGGTCCCCGAGGCACTCTAATCGCCGACGCTACCATCGTTGCTCGACGCGGTCGCTGACATTGCAAAGATCTCGGGTGGAGGTCCGTCAACCTTCACACTTCGTCCCGCTGTGTTCTCGACTTGCTTGGCGGGCATCGCCATCTGTGTCGCAGCCGAGTCGTCGTACACTAGAGTCGTCGCTCTGCGTGATCGTCGACGAGCAGAAGGCCTTGGAGATTGGGCCTGGTGGCATTAGACGATACCGATTGCTATAAGTGATGTGGCTTGCCGGGAACTGCATTCAACAGCCCTTTTCTAAGGGGGATTGTTCCATCGACGAGGTTGTGTGCGCGGTTGCTTCTTCCAGAACGGCATCATTGGAAGTGGTCGAGCTCTCCGGCTACTGCTGTGAGAACCCTCATGACAGTCTTGAGAGTAAATTCTTAGGTTCGGTCACCGGGCGTGTTGTGGCGAGTGACATCCTTTGCAAGCCCACGTCCATAAGACCTGCGCATCACTCTTTCCATTTTCCTTAATGGTTGCTTTCACGTTCCTCCCTATGCTGTAATACTCCAAGCGTGCGCCCATGAGGATTCACTGTTTTGCATCGTCTTCTTGCCCAGGAGAAACCTTAGTCGTGACAAGCGCTAAAGTGATGTCTGCAAAGCCGTCCACTGAAAGTGTCATGTAAAAAAGGCATCTTCTCCCACACCGTAATCATCCCAATTGCTTGCACTTCCTTTCTTTAAAGCGCGGCGTTGGCCGCTTCCTATCGCGAAAGCTGGGTCACGCCGATAACGCGCATGTCGTACGCGACCCAAAAATACTGGGCGTGCGGCGATTGTGCAAAGAAAGGAAAGCATTATGATTATTGCTGTGGGACGAAGTGACTACCTTTCTTACTCGAAGTTTTTTTTGCCTACCTGGAGGAAGAATGCTACTTACCTTGGGGCTGAAGTGCAAAAAGCGTCGTGCTAACTGCTGCAATGCGAGCATGAACCCACATAAAAACGAGTATTCAGAGGATTTGGCACATTATACGAACAGAGGAAGCGGTACTCCCTGGCATACAAGTGTCGGAGGAGACGAAGTGGTAACATTCTGGAAACTGCAAGTTACCACTTCCACCACACGGTGCCAGACGCGTTTCTTCGACGGAAAAAGCAATAGGACGAGGCAGCTGCTTAATATTATCTGTTCCATATTATCTGTACTGGTCCTTAATATTCTGTTCAGTGCATTTCATCATTCTTGAGCTGCTTTTCTTCCTATGATTCAAAGAGACCACTCAAGTGCAGCAAGCTGCCCTGATAATAGCACTTAGTCATCTGTGACTAAAGTGCTTCAAATTTGAATCATTGAATTCAAAAACTTGCCCTAGTATTAGAAAATACTGGCTTGACTGTGGCAGGACATTCTGCACTGAGTCACTGGCGTGTTATTGAAGGTTGTGGGAGAAATCATAATATCAATTTACAATGTAGTAAGATGCTCTTTGGATCCAGGTATTGAAATTACTTTTATCTGGGTTGCACTTGGCTTTGGAACTAAAAGGGCAGCAAAAAGTTTCAATACCTATTTGTGCGAGCTATGTTTAATCAAAGGGTAGGCCGCACACTTTTAAGCTGTGAATGTCCAGAGGCTCTATGCTGCGCAGATGTTTTATTTTAAAAATGTTCATCTATGCCTTGTCATCCTCTGACAATTCTTAGCCCGCTCATCGAATACCTGCGTAAATTTGGACACATTACGTAGCCCCCTTTTTTGTTAATTCAGTCTATAACGGATGATGGTCAACTGTAGCTACCTATGCAAGCTTGCATACTGCGAAATTGTGCCTGGGCTTAAATTGCGTTTATAGTGCTGATGTCACACATGTCGCGTTCGTATGATTTTTTTCGTTCACAGTGGTTGCAGCACCCCGGTGAGAACTGACACTGGCATATATGTAAGACACCTTGCTTTGCAATGCCGTTTTTACCCTTTTTTTCAACCACCCTTCAAGAAAATGAATTACTAACACCTAATTGGAAAAAAAGGACAGCGCTCCTGTGCTATATAGTTCTTTTTATTTTCATACGGCGATTGCCAACAGCGACGCGTGCCCACACCAGGAGATGACGTCACTACTAACCCCTTAAACTAACGCCCCAATGATGACAAGGCGCCTCTCAATATAGGTCCACCTATCGAAACGGCGGAGCCTGTCTGAGGCACTTCAGCTGTTCCCCCTGATTATCCCGCTCCATTCAGGTAAGTACCTTTGCATTACTTAACAACCGCTGTAACGAACATCTGACACTGTGGAAGCTTTTGACACTGCCACGTTTTTCATTGTTAGCAGGAACGTCTTCTACCAGAATATCAAAATGATTTACACTAATATCGGCCAACGTGTTTCATGCTGTGAACATTCTAGAAGCTGATACCAGGGGGCGCAACTCTATACCTCCCATGTATTCGCTATCGGCAGCGGCCATGCCGCCTTTTACCACTAGTGGTTTCCGGGCATCTAAGTAGAAATAAATCGCCAACAGAAAACTTCTTTCATTAAGTCACTGTTGAGGTCCCCAAATAGAGGGAAAGGGTGAAGTTTGAGAGGAGGGTCGCTGCGGAAGCCCTCCTTTCCTATTTCTCATGCAAGCAGAATGCGCTCGTGCTTTTTTCCTTCAGGTCTGCTGGCTGCTTGGGCACTGCGGTCATAGTTTTGTTATATATATTTTTTAGTATTGTTCGTACTTCAGTGCTTCAGTAAGCCTAAACTTAGATCTAACGGACATGAGATCTAACAGACAATAATTCCAAGGAATGCATAGGGGAAGTTATTAGAACAAATGTAATGTAAGTAAGAAAAAAGAAAAGTGGGTGAAAAAATAACCAGCCGTGAGCAGGAATCGAGCCTACGACCGATTGCACCCTGTACGCGCAACATAAATCAGAAGAGAAAGCATACACACGACTTGACCACAATGTCTGTCCATTGAGGTTATCCTTGCCCCGGCTGCGTTAGCTTACTGTATATTGAAAGCAGAAATAACAATGTGCCATACAAAACATATGCCTGTTTTGTTGCGTGTCTGAACCACCCAAAATTTATTTTGTTGATTTCAGACTACGTCCAGGACTTCTTCGAGGAGGCACCAGGTGAATTCAAGAGACAAAGCAACTCTGAAATTAGCAGCTGTCAGCTCTCAGCGATGCCGCCACCGATTTGTCCCCATGGTATGTTCACTCCAGCATCAAGCGAAGCAAGGCGTTCTTCATGTCCACTGGGCGGAAGTCCCTGGAAGCATTGCGTGCTTTTATAATCGGTGCACTTGAGCTCGGGCATGAAGGTTCTGCAGGTAACCACTTCCTCTCTCTCTCTCTCTCTCTCTCTCTCTCTCTTTCTCTTCTGACACTTGAGTGCCAGAGGGTACTGCTTCTTTTTTCTAATGTGCCATAATGTCTGAATACTCGTTTAGTGTTGGGTCTTAATTTCCTATCAACGTAACCATGTGACCTTTCCGCTCGAGTTTTGAGGTAATTACCAGCACCTTTGAAACAATAATTTAGCCTGTGACTGAATAAGCAACGAAAGTTCTATTGACATCATACGCACCATGAAAATTCTTTGTAAAGAAATTGAATGTCAAAGCAAATCTTCATTACAAATTTTTCAGAAAGCTTCTACAGCTTTACGGTTATTTGTTGTCGCATATAATTGTTTTATCTACATGCGGATCACCTTCATTGCATATGTATATCAGAATATTCTCGTTTTCAGTACACGAGTCTTCCAGAACATGTTGGTAAAACTGTTCCGGTGAAGATTCGTGAATACGATTCAGCAAAGGCAGTGTACGCTATGTCATGTTGGGTTGGTGGGGTGCACTGAAATTGGTCTAATGAGCTGCACTTTTTTGTATCGCGCCATCTAACGATGCGTCTTCTTATCGAAGGAGTTGCACAGTCTCAGCCGTAATAGAGAGGACTCAAACACTGCAACTAAAGACTTTTTTTCCTCTATAGTCATTCAGTTTTCACGTTTTTTCCTCAATAATTTATGAAAAGTCCTTCGAAAACATACACCTGCTGTTTTGAAACAAATACTCCCTGTACTCGCAACAGAGATCAGAGGAGAAAGCATACACACAAGTTGACCACAATTTCGGCCAGCTGAGGTCATCTTTGCCACGGCTCAGTTAGATATTTCTGCTTTCAATATATAGAAATCTATGTGCACACAAAATGTATCCCTGCCTTGATGCATGTCTGAATCATCCTAAAATTTTGTTATTTCAGAGTACGTCCAGGACTTCTTCAAGGAGGCACCAGGTGAATTCAAGAGACAAAGCAACTCTGAAATTAGCAACTGTCAGCTCTCAGCGATGCCGCCACCGATTTGTCCCCATGGTATGTTCAGTCTAGCAACAAGCGAAGCAAGGCGTTCTTCATGTCCACTGGGCGCAAGTCCTTGGAAGCTTTGCATGCTTTGAAAATCGGTGCACTTGAGCTCAGGCATGAAGTTTCCTGCAGGAAAACACTCCCTCTTTCTCTTCTGACACTTGTGTGCCAGATGGTACCTCTTCTTTTTTTAATGTGCCATAATGTCTGAATACTCGTTAAGTGTTCGGTCATCCTCGTTTTGCAGCTATTTGCACGAAGATATTTGCCCCTCAGCCCCCAGGGTCGGGGTTTCTTCACCCCAGGTAGGGATGGTTTGCAGCCGCCACCTGAGCACTTGTCATGGCTAAGGACTTTCTCGGCGGCAAAAAGACGACGTATAGGAGTTGAATGGAAATGAGCGCACGCCTGTAAAACTGCAGAAGTGAGAGGCATCTGCGCAGTCATTAAGGAAGAGGGAGAGCAGTACGCGCTGACACTTCTGGCATGGGCCCGTGAAGAGGTCTTCCCGCCAGCAGACGCACCACCGTGATGGGACCGGCAGGTACCGGACTCGCGCGACTACGATACTGTGGTGCGATTTCTGATTCGCGTCTGCAAAGAGAAGGTCGCCTCGCTTGCACACACATTGGTTACGGAAGCAATAAACCTGGACTCTAAAGACTGCTTCGAGGACGTTCTAAAATATGGCTGGAGAACTGTACTTGTACGAATGAGGCGGCTTGGGACTCGGCAACCAAGCACAGACGTCACCGATGTTCCTGCCACAAGCCCTCTTCATAGCAAGCTGCCGAAGACAGTCCCCAATCAGCCATGTCGCCTCAAAGCACTGGTTGTTGTCGAACCTGTAAGGCCTGATCTGTAAGACCACTGCAACGTCAGTGACCACGTAGGGCAAGGGTGATGGGGATTGGACTTCCTCGGGGACGGCGACGTCATTGAAACAGTCGAAAAGGGGAAAAGTGATGCAGCAGGATTGCTCCCGGACTCTTCATTGCTTTAATTAAGGCCAGAGTTAGATTACCACGCTAATACACTGGTAATGAGCAAGGAATAAGTGAGACGGCTTCATTTTTAAATATTTAAATTGGCTTAGTAAAGTTCTGTCTGTTTATTTACCCTTATTTCTACTTTCTGTCCGATTCTAGATTGCAGCGCGTTTTTCTTTTTTTCAAACTTTTTTCTCGTTTAGCGTGACTTATCTCACTCCTTAGCTTCAAGACCCGTGTCAGAGAATGGGCGAGCCTGCCATGAATCAATGTGGCCAATTCTCACGGATTCGGGTGGCTGCGGCTGAAGGACCGAGGCAAGACACTCCTAGCGACACTACATAAAAATGAAAGGAAAACTCATGGCACTGAAGAACTGAACAGGAAATAGAAATAAGCTTGAAACCAAGCGCAAAATTACTAACCTTATACGTGTCGAAATAAAAATTTCGTGTAATCCCCCCGAATTACTGATGTGCGTAAGCTAAGGTTGATGACCCTGGCCCTATAGCCCCCAAATATGCGGTCGTTCTAACCGGAACAAGCGAGTGAATGTCCGGGATTCGGCCCGCTGTGTCACTTTGGGTGATCGGAGCGTGCGTGGAGAACGTCGCGGTCCCCGAGGCAGTCTAATCGTCGACGCTACCATCGTCGCTCGACGCGGTCGCTGTCGTTGCGAAGGTCTCGGGTGGATGTCCGGCAACCTTCACACTTCGTCGTGCTGTGTTCTCTACTTGCTTGGCGGGCATCGCCGTCTGTGTCACAGCCGAGTCGTCGTGCACTTGAGTCGTCGCTCTGCGTAATCGTCGACGAGCCGGAGGCCTTGGGGATGAGGCCTGGTGGCATTAGACAATACCGGGTGCTAAGGGCGATGGGGCCTGCCGGGACCTGTATTTAACAGCTTGCTTCCTAGGGGGCTTGTTCCATCGACGAGTTTTTTTTTTTTTTGGAAGGGGGGGGGGGGGGTTGCTGCTTTCAGAATGGCAACATTGGAAGCGGTCGAGCTCTCTGGCTACTTCTGTGGGAACCCTCTTGACAGTCTACACCCTGAGTCTAAGTTCTTTGGTTCCGTCCCCGGACGTGTTGGGGCGAGATTACTTCATTTGCAAGCCCACCTCCATAAGACCTGCGCTATGTTTTTTTTTTATTTTTCTACGTGGTTGGGTTCACGTTCCTCCCTATTTTGTACTATTCCAAGGTTGCGCCCACTAGGATTCACTTTTTTTTGTCGTCCTTTTGCCCACGAGAAACCTTAGTCGTGACAAGCGCTAAGGTGCTGTCTGCAAAGCCGTCCACTGAAAGTGTCGTGTAAAAAAGGGCATATTCTTCCACAACTCTAATCTTCCGAATTGCTTGCACTTCCTTTCTTTAAAGCGCGGCGTTAGCCGCTTTCCTATCACGAAAGCTGGGTCACGCCAATAACGAACATGTCGTTCGCGACCTGAAAGTACCGGGCGTGCGGCGATGGTGCAAAGAAATGAAAGCATTGATTATTGCTCTTGGACGAAGCGACTACCTTTCTTACTCGACGTTTTATTTGCCTAACTGGATAAAGAAAACCACTTACTTTAGGGCTCAAGTGCAAAACGCGTCGTGCCAACGGCTGCAATACGGGCATGGACGCATATAAAATGAGTATTCAGAGACTTTGGCACATTATACAAAACAGGAAGCGGTACTACCTGGATACAAATGTCAGAGGAGAGGAAATGGCAACTTGCAGGAGCCACCACGCCGGAGCTCGCGTGCACCGTACGTTGATGCACGCAATGTATTCGGGGGTCTCTCCTCACTAACACGTAAACCGCCTTCCACCACATGGTGCCAGAGGGCCAGACGTGTTTCTCAGACGGAAAAAGCAATAGGACGAGGCAGCTGCTTACCCACTGCCGGCCCATATTATCTGTTCAGTGCACTTTCGTCTACGTACAGCTGCTTGTCTTCAGATGATTCCCGGAGACCACTCAACATAACAGCCATTCCGACCGAGTTGTAGCCTACCAGGATGCTCAAGAACGAAACAAGGGGCAAAAGAGGTGTTAAAACTTCTTTCATTCAATGCGCCCGGAGACACGATAGTAAGTTGGTTCTCGTTTTAGCTGTGTTAACCTTCTTGAAATTGACAAACCTGGTTGTGTTTCACTTCCTGTAAGTATGGTTAACCTGAATTGACAAGCCTAACCTATACTGCGTAGATAGTGCAATATTATGCAGGGTACTGAGACTTGTAATTGCCAGGCATTCAGTGGCTGTCATCTCGATGGAAATGGCAGAAGGGACTCACCCGGGCGTTCAAAGTTGGTGAACATTAGCCATACAAACGCTTCCACCATCAGGAATATTCACTCTGTGCAGGTGCATTTAGGAGAGGTAAGAAATGCTTCTACAAGAGTTCTTCAATAAATATGCTTTTTCGTCTGCTCTTGCAATAATGTTGAAGGGTGGCATGCTCGCCTTGGATAGTCTGTAGATGAGGACGAGCCCTAAAGCGCAGCAAGCTGCCCTTATAATAACACTTCTGCATCTGCGACTAAGGTGCCTCAAATTTGAATCATTGAATTCAAAAACGTGCCCTAGACTTAGAAAATGCTGGCTTGACCTTGGGCTGGATAATATGCACTAAGCCACTGGCGCGTTATCAAGGGTGTCTGTGTCAAATCATTAATATACGTTTGCAATGTAATAAAAATCACAAGTATCCTGTCTGTAGCCAGGTACTGCCACTACTTTTTCTGGGTTGCACTTGGCTTTGGAACTGAAAAGGGCAGCAAAAGGTTTGAATATTTATCTGAGCTATTGTTTATTCGTAGGCTAGACCGCACACACTTCACGCTGTGAATGTCAAGAGGTCCTATGCTGTGCAGACGTTTGCTCCTTTATGCCTTGTCATTGTCTGGCAATTCTTACCTGGCTTTATTTGACACCTTTTTTATTAAGTGAAGTCTACAACGAGTATAGGTTATGTGTGACTACCTGCTGCCAGCTTGCATACTGCAAAATTGTGCCTGGGCCTAAATTGCCTTTATAGTATGGACGCCTCACATACCGCGTTCGTATTGAGGCTCTGCGTTCAGTTCTTTTCAGCCACCCCGCTGAGTAACTGACACTGGCACTATATGTTAGACACCTTGCTTTGCATTGCTTTTTCTTCGTTTCTTTTTTTTCCATACCCGAAAAAAATTTTGTATGACTACTACCTAGTTTGAAATGAAGCTAGGAACTACACTCCTCTGCTACGTAGTTTTTTTTTTTGTTTTCGTATGGCGATTACCAACAGGGACACGCGCCACCACCAGGAGATGACGTCACTACTCTCTCAAGACTAACACGCCAATCATGACAAGGCGCCTTTCACAAAGGTAGGTCCTCCTATCAAAACGTCAACCAGCCTGGCTGAGGCACTTCCACTGTTCACCCTGATTATCCCGCTCCATTCAAGTAAGTACCTTTCCATTGCTTAACCAGCGCTGTAACTAATATCTATGACACCCGTGGAAGCTTTTGACACTACCACAATTTCGTTATGCTTGCAGGAACGCCTGTCTACCAGAAGGTCAAAGCAGTTGTTCTCCGTGCTTGCCTTCTGATGCACAAACGGCATCTCTGAAGTCGCTTCATGCACTCCTGATACACTTGGCACCAAGTCGTTGGCACACACGGCACGTACCATAATGGCCAGGTACAGTGTCTACCTATCAGGTGTAGTGTTGTGCTTAGTATGTTGCGTTCTTTGACTCGTTATTCGCCTATTAAAGAAGAGAACTTAGTATGTTGCTTAAACACGAGATCACTAAGGGACAGCGAGCTGCTCGTGAGAGGAACCCTCTTTTCCCGCAGAAGCTTCTTACATCGAAGCGTCCCGAGTTGTTCGCATTCTAAATGTGAGGGCAGCTTGTAGCGAGTATTCAAGCATTTCAAAGAACTTGTTATTTTTTCGGAGGGAACGGTTGTGATGAGAGTAGGATAATATCTAATCGCGCACTCATGTCTTGATTTCCCCTCAACATAACAATGTGGCCTTCCGACTTTGGTTTTAAACCAGTTATCAGCACCTTTGAAGCATTATTTCGACTGCGACTAATTTTGCCACAAAACTTCTATTGCCGTCATACGCGCCATGAAAGTTCTGTGTGATAAGAAAAAGTCAATGTCAAAGTAAAGCTTCTTTTGCAAATTTTATAGAAAGCTTCTACAGCTTTACGGTAAGTTGCTGTCGCTTATAAATGTTTTATCTATAATGATATCTGAATATTCCGATATACATATATAATGAAGGTGACCCACATGTATATCAGAATATTCTACTGTCTAGTGCACAAGTCTTCCAGAACACGTTTTGAAAACTTCTCCAGTGAAAATTAGTGTTTACCATTCAGCTAAAGTAGTATACGTTATGTCATGTTGGTTTGGTACGGCTTACTGAGAATGGTCTATTGAGCAGCATTTTATTGTTGCTCCTTTTTATCGAAGGAGCTGCAGTTTCAGCCGTAATAGGGATACCTCAAACACTGCAACTGAAGATTCTTTTTTCATTAGTCGACTGTTTTCCGCATTTGTTTTCTCAAAAAAAGCTTATGTTAAAAACCAATACCTGCTCTTTTAATACATAATTCTTACTGTATATGCGACCGAGATTAAAGGAGAACATACACGTGAGTTTACGATAAATTCGGTCCACTGAGGTCCTTTGACCCGGCTCCATTAGTTTCCTGTATATTGAAAGCAGAACTAACTATGTGCGATACAAAAAATATGCCTGTGTGTTCGATGCCTGTTGGAACTAGCCTAAAATAATTTTCATTTAAGACTACGTCCAAGACTTCTTGGAGCCGCCGCCGGATTAGTGTAAGAGACCAAACATTTCCGAAATGAGCAGCGTTCAGCTGTCACCAATGCCACCACCGATATGTCAGTGTCAATGCTAGTGTCTAGTACACGACTCTTCAAGAACATAATGCTAAAACTTCAGCAAAGGCAGTGGACATTACGTCATGTTCGGTTAATGGAATGTACTGAGAATGGTCTAATGAGCAGTATTTTATTGTTGCGCGTTATCTAACGGTGCGTCTTCTTATCAAATGAGCTGCAGTTTCCTCCGCAATAGGGAGGCCTCAAGCACAGCAATTAAAGATTCTTCCCTCTATAGTCAACCATTTCCCGCGTTTTTTTCTTCAATAAAGGATTAAAAGCTCTTAAAAAAACATATACCTGCTCTTTTGAAGCAATTACTTCCTGTACTCGCAACAGAGAGCACAGGAGAAAGCGTACACACAAGTTGACCACAATTTCGGTCCACTCAGGTCATCCTTGCCCCTGCTCCATTAGCTTTCTGTGTATTGCAAGCAGAAATATGTCTAGTCAAGTTTATTACATACTTCACATGCGGATAGATGGTTTGTATAGTACAGGAGGAGGTCCCAAAGTTTCATAGAAACTCACGGGGGCACCTCCTGTGGCGACATAAATGGGGTAATTACAAAAAAGTACAGCAAAAGTTGCGAATTTGTGAGCAAACACTAATGAACTTAGTTACCAGTAACAATACAATTATTACATAACATGACGTTAATACTACCGATAATATTAAATGTAAAAATTCTCAATAGCAGGACTTAAAACTAGAACAAAGCAGAATAAAGAACTGTACATGACAAATGCAACAACTTTTTCGTCAGTTGCGTGAGTTGTATAAATACATATGCTAATATAGAACTAACACTCAATTGTCGAAAGCTGCCAACAGTTGAATACGGAAATCAGACGATTCCATTATTTCCTGAAGAAAGTGTTTTTCTACGTGAGGTGAAAATATGAATGTTGTGCGATGATTTTATTTCGAAGGGCACCGAGTCCCAATTTCTATGCTTGAAAACAAGGTTGACAACTTGCCCAAGTTTCATCTTACGCCTGGTAAGATTATTGCTCTAGGAAAGCCTGGTAATATCGCTGTTAAGTGATGATTCTCAATGCATGCAATGACTATATCATGCATGATGAGACTGTAGGCTACTATGCACAATCTGTGGTGGAATAATTGTCTTAATGGTACGTTAACGTTAGAAACACTGAGCTACAGGAAGAAGATGGTCTAAAAGTCATTAGTCTATCCGCTCTATTCTGCAGTCGCTCCATTCCTTTAATGTGCGTGATGCAAGTGTTGGCCTAAGATGATACACAATACGAAATATGAGTGCGAATGTTGCCAAATACAAGAAAAATATGATGTGAGGTGGAATATAGGTACGTGTTTAGATGTTACCATTAATTCCACATGCAATTTTTAATAAGTGGAGCGGCATGTTTATGAAATTTTAGATCAGTATCTAAGATGATGCCAAGAAACCGTGCTTCAGGAGACACGTGAAGGACGTTATTACCAATGTGAAGAGAAGTGCCATACAATATGTATCCCTTCTTTGATGCGTGTCTGTACCACCCTAAAATGATATTGTCAATTGCAGAGTACGTACAGGATGTCTTCGAGGAGGCACCAGATGAATGCAAGAGACAAAAAAACTCGAAAATGAGCTGCTGTCTGCTCTCACCGATGCCGCTACGGATTTGTCAGCATGGTATGTGCCCTCGGCATCAAGCGGTTCAAGGTGTTCTTCATGTCCACTAGGCGGAAGTCCCTAAATGCATTGCATGTATTAATAATCGGTGCACTTGAGCTCAGGCATGAAGTTTCCTGCAGGTAACCACTCCCTCTCTCTCTTCTGACACTTGTGTGCCTGAGGGTACCGCTTCTTTTTTCTAATGTGCCATAATGTCTGAATACTCGTTTAGTGTTCGGTCATCCTCGTTTTACAGCTATTTGCACGAAGATATTGGCCCCACAGCCCCTAGAGTCGAGGTTTTTTCACCCCAGCTAATAATGGTTTGCAGCCACCGCCTGAGAACTTGTCATGGCTAAGGCCCTTTTCGGAGGCAAAAAAACGGGGTCTCGGAGTTGAATGAAAATGAGCGCACGCCTGTAAATCTTCAGAAGTGAGAGGCATCTGCACAGTCATGAAGGAAGAGGGAGAGCAGTACGCGCAGACACTTCTGGCGTCGGCCCGTGATAAGGTCTTCCCGGCAGCACACGCACCACCGTAACGGGACTGGCAGGTACCGGACTAGCGCGACTGCGATACTGTGGCGCGATTTCCGATTCGCGTCTGCAAAGAGAAGGTCGCCTCACTTGCACACACATCGGTTACGGAAGCGAAGAACCTGGACTCTAAAGACTGCTTCGAGGACGTCCTAAAATATGGCTGGAGAACTGGACTTGTGCGAATGAGGCTGCTTGGGACTCGGCAACCAAGCACAGATGCCGCCGATGTTCCTGGCACAAGCCGTCTTCATAGCAAGCTGCCGAAGACAGTATTAATCGGCCACGTCGGCTCAAAGCACTGGGTGTTGTTGAACCTGTAAGGCCTGATCTGTAAAACCACTGCAACGTCAGTGACCACGTAGGGCAAGGGCGACGGGGATTCGACTTCCTGTGGGACGGCAATGTCATTGACACGTCAAGAAGGGGAAAAGTGATGCAGCAGGATTGCTCCCGGATTCTCCATTTGTTGAAGTATGACCGAGTTTGGGGGCCGCAAGGCCAGAGGTATTTTACCACGTTAAGACACTGGTAATGAGCAAGGAATAAGTAACAGTTTCATCTTTTAATGTTTTATTCGGTTTAGTACACCTGTGTCTGGTTTTTCAACCTAATTTCTACTTTCTGTCCGATTCTTGATTGACGCGCCTTTCTCTTTTTCTATATTGTTGTCTCGTTCAGAGAGAACGCCATCTCACACCAGAATCTTAAAATGGGCCGGATTGATTCATGGCCGGCTCACCAATTCTCACGGAATCGGGTGGCTGTGGTTGAAGGACTGAGACAGGACACGCATAACGACAATACATATTATTTAAACAAAAACGCATGGCACTGAAGATCTGAGGACGTAATAGAAATAAGCTTGAAAAGAACAAACATGAAAATACTAGCTGTGTCGAAATGAAACGGTCTCACGTAATCCTTGAGCATTACTGATGCGCTTGCGCTCGGATCAATGACCCTGGCCTTGTAGCACCGAAAGATACGGTCAGTCTTACTGGTGAAAACAAGGAAAAGTCGGGGATCCTTCCCCTGTGTCACTTTGGGTGATCGGAGCATGCGTGGAGAACGTCGCGATCCCCGAGTCAGTCTAACCCTCGTCGCGGCTGTCATCGCTGGGCGAGGTCGCGGACATTGCAACGGTCACGGGTGGAAGTTAGGAAACCTTCACACTTCGTCGCGCTGCGTTCTCGACTTGCTTGGTGGGCATCACAATCTCTGCCGCGGCCGAGTCGTCGTACAATGGCGTCGTCGCATGGCGTGATCGGTGACGAGCAAGAAGCCTTGGGGA